TCCTCGGCGACTACTTGTTTGTTCATTGTTGACTTTCATTCTACAATCTTCAAGTCTTCAACAGGTCCATAATTTCTTCATTCTTCAATCTTGTGGTTTTATGTTAGTGTTCAACCGATTCTTTTATCCTTTTTCACCTCACGCTTTCACCGGTTGGTTGGGTGGTAAAGATACTTGTTTTATCACTTTTCCTTTTGTGAAAATATGTACTAATTCACTATATATTTATTCGGAAGTTGTTTCACTGCCTAAACGAAATCCTATTTTCCAGAACATATTCAATTGTTTAAGTGAATTGAAAATCCTTTCTCTTTTGTACTCAATAGACTTATTATTTTAACAGTTTGGTTACTTAATGGGTTAAAAGTTACTCTATAATGATGACATGGTAAAACTAATTAGGTTAAGTGTTCTGTTTTTTTGTTCTTCTCAATAGTACTTTCGACCAACTTTATTACTTAGTAGTACTAAGTTTTGTTTTTTTAATTGGTTTTGTTCTATTTTTAGCAGGTTTGCCGCTGGAGGAGGCTATAGATTGATATTAAGTAGTACTATGTTTTGATTTTAGTTGGTCTTGTTATATTTTTAGCATGTTAGAAGGTCTGTAGATTGACTGATGAATATAGTAGTTTCAAGAATGGTGTGTATTGAAGTACTTTTGTTGGAGGTTGGAGACAAGGATTAATCAGTTGCATCCTTGAATTTAATGACGGTAAATTGACTGATGAATATAGTAGTTATGTGGTTTCTTCATTGCTTTAGAAACTAAGAAGTGAGAAACATCCTTATTGTTTAACTGTCTGTTAAATTTCATGCTTATTTCAGTGGGAATTCTTCATTGTTATGTACAAATTAAGTGTTCTCTGCATCTAGTGGGACTGTGGGAGTATTAATTGTTATAACTTATAAATACATCATTAATAGGGACGGTGCAATACCGAAACCGTACCAAACCAAACAAGAAAATACCGAACCGTACCGAACTACTTTGATACGGTATTTGGTATGCGTAATTGATATACCGAATACCGAAATACCGAATCGTAATTTATAAATACCGTACTGAAGTACCGAATGCCCACCCCTACCCCACCCCACACTTAAACAGTGCATAGTCCCCAATACATAATAAATTGAAAAATAGAGTAAGGTGGAAAGAAAGAACTCCCTGCTAGTAGGATTCTGCCTGCTCAGGACGCCCACCAGCTGTAGTTATAGGCTCATCATCATCTCCTAAGGGTACCAAAGCCATTGGTCCTGTAACTTCATCATCATCCGCATCCTCATCATCAGATCCCTTGTGAGTTTTTTCATCCTCAGACGGATGAATGGGACTACCTGGTGCTATGCCAACATCTCCTAGGATGAACTGGAAAGATCACTTCGCAATTGTGTGTGCTCCTCATATGATACCCCTAGCCTGCTCATAATAACATTGATAGTTTTGTAGAGATACCTGTTAAAGTTTTCGTCCCTCTCATTCCTAGTAGCTTGGGTGAGCTTTGATGTGGACTCTAACAAGGATGTGATGTCTATCACTGCCTTGGGTGCCTCACTACCTCATCATAACCTAGGTAATCCAGTACTCCAAAATATAGCATGTACGGTGTCAGGATGTTGCCATAAAAGAACCTCTTGATACTTCCTCCAAAACGGGTGCGAGCCATCTCCCCAAGCATGAGTTAACCCACATTTATGGGACCGGACATTCGAGGAGTTTGCATATAATTCTCGGACCATGCTGAGATTTGCCGGGCCCGGACATTCGAGGAACTTATTAATCTTCCTGTCGATCAATGTAGCAAGTACATCGAGGAAGCTTCGTTCTAAGGCCTTCACATTTATCCCCATCTCAGGCACATATCTCACGTATGGAACAAAAGTATCATGCCATTTTTTGGTTTTATCTCCTAAAAATTCCAACCAAGGGCGTGATTGCTTCGTAGACCCGCTAGCCACTTGCTTTCCCTTAGCTTGTCGGGAATAGCACTCGTCTTACTTGCGTTTATTTGGAGGGGGAGAAGTAGTGTAGGACTTCCCCACCACTTTTCCTTTAGCGGCAATGTCACGAGCCATAGCAACCTACATCTGTACCCGCCAGCCCAGAGCCCCACGCTGGGGCTGGCACTAAAATTATTTCGCTACTGGAAATTGCGCCCCACCCGGCGTGGGGCGCAGGGCTGGGCACTCATTTCGTGAATTTATATATATATTTTTTTTGCTGAAATCAATACATAATTTACACATAACCCACACCATCCCTACCTAAGATTTTGTGAAACTACAAAACAAAACAAAACAATTAGTCTACACTAACTAAAAGAAAACAAAAAACTAAGCTACTAAAGCAGTAAAAATTCGGTTGTCACCCAACGAGCGCCTGATTTAACGTCGCAACACAACTAAAAACATTTTTTTAAGCAAAGACCAAGTCCACCGAGGTCTTGTGACGTGCAATGTCACCATCCTAATAATGTTTTATTCTTTGGCTATTTACCAAGAAGGACTGCCCAATGAGACTTAAGCTTTCTGGGGAAAAGCTTCAACCTTGAATTGAACAAAAGAACTTCTTGACCCGGATCAAACTCTTGATGTTAGATGGGTTTGTAATGCCACCTCTTAGTCTTTTCTTTATAAAATTTGTAATTCTCATATGCGTGCAATAAAAATTCATCAAGCTTGTTGTGTTGCAACAACCTCTTCTCACAAGCAAAGTCCATATCCATATTTAGCTTTTTAATTGCCCAATAGGCTTTGTGTTCAAGCTCGACAGGCAAGTGGCACGCTTTCCCATAAACTACTATATACAGAGAAGTACCTATGGGAGTCTTGTATGCAGTTTGATATGCCCATCATGCGTCGTCTAGCTTCCCGGCCCAGTCCTTTCTATTTCCACTTACCGTTTTCTCCAGGATTTGCTTTACCTATCTATTTGAAACTTCCACTTGACCCCTCCTTTGGGGGTGATAGGCAGTGGAAACCTTGTGCTTAACTTCATACTTTGCAAGAACATTATTCAGCAATTTGTTGCAGAAGTGAGTTCCTCTGTCGCTTATCAACACTCTTGGAGTTCCAAAGCATTTGAACATGTGCTTCTTTACAAAGCTTACCACAACCTTTGCATCATTAGTAGGAAGAGAAATGGCTTCCACCCACTTAGAGACATAGTCGACTACCACCAAAGATGTACCTGTGACCATTAGAGTATGGGAACGACCCCATGAAATCAATTCCCCAAACATCAAAAAACTCCACTACCAGAATATTTTTGCAGAGGCATCTCGTGCTTTTTCGTGATTGCTACGGTTCTTTGGCATATATTACACTTTATAACAAAGGCATGTGCATCCTGAAACAATTTTGGCCAATAAAAACATGATTGTAGCACTTTTTGGGTGGTTTTATCCCCACCATGATGACCTCCGTATAGCGAAGCATGACAGTCATGTAGTATTGCGTTCATCTCATCCTCAGGAACACACCTCGGTACCAACTGATCTGCGCACTGCTTATATAAGAATGGCTCATCCCATAAGTAGAACCTTACATCATGCAGAAATTTGCTTCTCTTATCAGGTGTCAAATCTAGTGGTGTCACCCCACTTGCAATAAAATTCACATAATCTGCATACCATGGGACTTAACTTGAGGTGATTGATAATAACTACTCATCAGGAAATATTTCTTTGATTCACCCTCCTTCAGCTACATGGCTTCAATTTTCTAAATTGGATAAGTGATCAATCTCTTGATTCTATGCCCCTTTTCGATCTCGGATCTCTAAGTAAAAATCTTGTAGGAGGAGGACCCAACGAATCAACCTCAGCTTGGCGTCTTTCTTTTCAAAGAAGTATCTAATAGCTGAATGATCTATGTAGATGATGACCTTGGTCCCTACTAGATAAAATCTGAACTTGTCAAACGCCCACACTACTTCAAGCAACTCTTTTTCAGTAACTATGTAGTTCATCTAGGTTGGATTCAAAGTTTTTCTCTCATATTAAATGGAATGAATGATTTTATTTCTCCTTTGCCCCAAAACAACTCTAATTGCTATGTCAATCGCATCGCACATCAACTCAAATGGCTGCTCCCAATTTGGAGCAATGATAATTGGTGCAGTCACTAGCTTTCCTTTCAGTTCTTGAAATTCCTTCAGACATGCATCATCAAACTTGAAAGGGACATCTTTCTCAAGAAGTCTGCACAAAGGAGAAGAAATTTTCAAAAAATCTTTAACGAAATGAAAATAAAAACCTGCATGGCCCAAGAAACTGCGAATGCCATTGACGGATGTCGGTGGGGGCAATTTTTCAATCACCTCAACCTTCACTTTGTCCATCTGCAAACCGTTTTTGGACACCTTGTGTCCCAGGACTATACCTTCACGTACCATGGAATGACACTTTTCCCAGTTTAGCACCAGGTTTGTCTCTTCACACCTAGCAAGCACTTTATCAAGATTCATTAAACAATTATCAAAAGAGCATCCAAACACAGAAAAATCATCCATGAATACTTCTACAAATCATTCAACCATGTTAGTAAAAATAGCCATCATACACCTTTGAAAAGTCGCAAGTGGATTACAGATACCAAAGGGCACTCTCTTGAATGCATATGTGCCATAGGAACACGTAAATATGATTTTTTTTGGTCCTATGGGGCTATAACAATCCGATTATACCCCGAATAACCATCTAAGAAATAGTAGTATTCCTGGCTAGCTAATCGATCAAGCATTTGGTCAATAAAGGGGAGGGGAAAATGGTCATTGCGGGTGGCATTGTTCAATTTTCTATAATCTATGCAAATTCTCCACCCAGTGATAGTTCATGTGGGAATCAAGTTATTATTTTCATTAACCACTACAGTCATCCCCCCTTTTGTAGGTACACATTGGACGGGGCTTACATATTTGCTATCAGAGATTGGAAATACAATACTTGCATCAAGCCACTTAGTCGGCATTGTTGCTCTACACTTGGCTTGTGTCTGTCCTATATGAGGACTTTATGCATGCGAAGAGCTGGACTAATTCCCCTAATATCAGAGATCGTCCACCCAAATTCTCGCGTGTGCTCACATAGCACTCTCAACAGCTTTTCTTCCTGCAATTTAGACAAGTCAGAAGAAATAATAACAGGTAAAGTGTCAAAACTGCCAAAATAAGCATATTGAAGGTGAGGGGCAGGGGTTTAAGCTCCAATTTTGGAGGTTCCTCAATTGACGGCGTTGGAGGAGGCCCACTTGGCCTATTCATGGGCTCAAAGGGGTGTATCCCCTGCATGTAGGAACAAAATGCATCTAGAATATGCATCATCTCCTCAACCTCATCATCAATCTCCAAGATATCGAACAAGATAAGTGCTTTCTCTAGAGAATCATCTAGATCTACACTCATGTCAAGAAGTTGCTCATCCACTTCCACAACAGATATTATCGAGAGCTCTTCATAGTAGCAGGGAAGTTGAATTGCTTTGTAAACATTAAAGACTAATTCCTCGTTATCCACTTTCAATATCATTTTTCCATCTCTCACTTTAATAATTTCATCACCAGTCACCAAGAGAGGTCGTCCCACAATGATTGGAACCAGTTCATTAGCCTCATAATCTAGGATAATGAAGTCCACAAGAAAGATGAATTTCCCAATTTGCAACAACAAATCTCCAATAACCCCCTTAGGGTGTGCTATAGACCTGTCAACCAGATTATCACAGTAGTTGGTCTTGGAGCTCCCAGACCCAATTGCTTGAACAAGGACAAGGGCATCAGATTTATGCTTACCCCCAAATCACAAAGTGCACAACCCACATCAATATTACCAATTCGTACAGGGATGGTGAAGCTACTAGGATCCTTGAGCTTTTGAGGAAGCTTGTTTTGGACTCTTGAAGTGCATTCCTCAGTAAGTGCGACTGTCTCGAATTCAGTCAATCTCCTTTTGTGAGACACTATTTCTTTTAAGTACTTAGCATACTTTGGAATTTCACAAAGTACATCCACCAATGGAATCTTCAATTGAACCTGGCTCAACATAGAGAGAAATTTGCTGAACATGCGATCAACATTCTTTTTCTGCAATATCTGGGGGGAAAGTGGTGGTGGCCTTGTAGCCTCCACTGGCTCTGAAATTGCATCATTTTCTTTGATTTGTGTGTTGCCTTAGGAATCAACTCCCCCTCAGGTATATGTTTGTCTTTTCTCTTCTTTGGCACTTTCTCTAGTTCTCTCATGTTTCTGAGTGTAACTGCATTAACTTCAGAGTTCTTATCTATATCACTGGGGAGAGTGCCTGCAGGTCTAGTATATTGATTTGTTGCTAACTTCCCCATTTGCCTCTCAAGATTTCCGAAATCAGTACTGAGTTGTTGATTGTCAAGCAACAACTTCTTCAACAAATCATTCGTAGTCTCTTCTACCTGTTGAGGTAGATTATGAGGTTTATTGAAATTTCCTTGTGGTCTATAATGATTCTGATTCGGTTGATTTCCACCCCCATGAAAAGTTGGGATGATTCTTCCAATTTGTGTTGTAAGTGTTCTCATATTGTTCCTGTTGATCATTGGACCTCTGCTCTGTTGCCTCACATAGTATATAGATTCAGGATTCGTGGGGCACATGTCACTCATATCACTGTCACCACATAGTTCGCAGCAAATAGACATTTGTTCTACATGTTGCATCGGTTGTGTTTTTTGCATTGTCATTCTATTCATCTGATTTGCAAATTTTGCTATATCGGCTCTCATGGCTGAAAAGTCATCAAGCTCAATCAACCCGGCTGCTTTCTGTTTAATTGCCCTTCGTGAATCCCCATCTCCTTGCCAATTATGATCATTAGTAGTAAAGTTATTTAGCAAGAGTTGTATTTCATTGTACGGTCTCGCCATGCAACTACTCTCACAAGGTGAATCAAGATTCATCTTTGATGCCTCATCTAGCCCATCAACAAAAGTGTGACCCAATACCTCATCAGTCTGACAATGATGTGGGCAGGCTCTGTGTAGCTTCTTGTATCTTTCCCAAGCTTGATGAAGTGTCTCGACATCCCATTATTCAAACCCAAGAATCTGACTCCTCAATGACTTTGTCTTCTTAGTGGGAAAAAACTTGATTAAGAATTTCCTTGCTAGATCATCCCAAGTGTGGATTGAGTTCGTAGGCTCCTTTTGCAACCATTCCTTAGCTTCCCCCAGCAGTGAAAAGGGAGATAGTGTCAGCCTGACATAGTCCTCAAAAACATTCAAATAATTGTAAGTGTCTGTAATTTCTAAGAAATTCTCAATGTGCCTCTATGGGTCTTCATGAGATAGACCCACATATTGCCCTGTGATATTGTTTGAGTTCAAAATGCCTTGTGATCTCAGGCTTCCCAATAGCCTGAGTCATATTAGCAAGATTGGGCTTTGTGGCTTCTATCACCGCACACTCTTCATTACCTTCCATCTTTGTTGGCTATGGCTGAACTACAATGTCCAACTCTCCTTCTATTCTAGTTCTAGCTTCGGCTTCCCTCCTCACTCTGCGAAGTGTTAGTTCAATTTCAGGATCAAGAGGAAAGAAATTTTTTGTGCTCCTACTCCTCCGCATTAAAGAGAAGAGCTCGCGTTAACACAAAGAAGGCAAACTGAAAATATAAACTTGAACAAATAACTAATAAAAGCTTAACTCAGTCAAGTTGCTAATTTCTAAGTCTCCCGCAACGACGCTATAAGCCTTTTGCGACAAAAAACACTTACGCAAGTGTACGCGGTCATCAAATAATAAATTAGTGAGTAGAGTATCATTCCCACGAAGACTTATGATTAACTTTTGACTTATCCAAACTCAATTAACTTATCGATTTGAAAGATTTCTCACAAGATATAGAAGTGACTAATTTACTACCTAAAATAATCAAGCAATGAATTAGCTAGAAATCAACAAAAACAAATAAATAATTTCAATTAACAATCAGTATGAGAGAATATTCCAGGGTCACAGGTTAGCTAATAATCGTGTTGCATTCTTGGCTTAAAATGATTAATTGATTTATCTGGATTGTTGATTGGCAGGGTTAATATTACTCATAAGAATCTAACGAGTCCTTACTCACCTATTTAAGTTAACTTAATGCCTATATGTCTATGGAATTAAGATTGACAAGAATGCATTTACAATTCCTGTATTTCAACCAAGCAAGGCAATTAAGTATGTGTCTATCCTAATTGCGAATCTGTTCCCCGATGCCTAGGTTCAAGAACTTGCTCTATTTAATTCTATATGCAATTTAGAGTTCCCACTTTCGAGTTAAATTCTAGATTCATAGATAGTATTTCACTGTTAGCTACTCAGCAAAATAATTAAAAATAGAATTAAATAAACAACCCAATATGATAAAATCAACTTTGTAAAATTAAACTTCAAACATCAACATTTATATTTCACCCATGACCCAAGAATAATATGGTTCTTATCTACTCATGTTCATACAATCATGAAAAATATATTTTTCAAACATAAAATTAATGAGTACTAGAAAAAGGATAGAAGAATTGATCAAATCCGTGCTCCCGAGTGTTGTGCCCTTTTTTTCTCCTATCAAAGTCATGTTCCTCCCTTAAAAATAGGTTTTGGTTGGCCTTTATATTAGTTGGGGCGTCTAGGGGTCAAAATACCCCAGTCCTAGTCAGAATAGGGCAATATCATGCCTCGAGCGTCCAAGGCAGCGTGGGGCGCTGGATTTGGCGCTCAAAAATTGAGTCTTCTGTAAACTACACTGTTGCGCCCCATTTTTACTTCTCGGAGTCCGGGTTTCGACATTCATTTGGGAACAACTCGTTTCCTTTTGGGAATTGAGTATTTGAAGAGTTACCACCTAACGGATTAAGGTGCGTTAGGGCACCTAGAGCAATTAACTCATGTAACCAGTTTGCATTGCCAGAGATTAGGTAAGAGCTTGAAATAACCTTGAGGAGAAGGTGTTAGGCATCCCTCGCGGTCCACAACGGTGGGTCCCGGAAGAACTTAAACTATGTGAATTAGTCATTTAACAAGTAAGTGATCTCAGCACATATTTGCAAATAAAGGTAGTTTATATAGTCTAAATACATATACTATCAAGAAAGATAAGCGTAAATTAAAGAGGTTTAAACAGTCCGAGAATACATAAACCAATGAAGTTTAGGAGATCTGAGTACACGTATGTGATTTAGGGAAAGGGAAGTCCTAAGTTGATTAGCCTATAGGATCAATCTGTGCAATGCCTAGTAATCCTCCTCAATTAGAGAGGCTATACGTGACATTAGCGCGCAGGTCATCATATCCTTTTACTACCTATTACCCTCCCCTTAGTGGTTATATAAGCGAGTTTAATTAACGAACTCTAAGCGTGCTTTACCCATCCCTTCCTTATGGTCCCGAAGAAGTTTAGGACCTCTAGACTTAGGCAGTTCTAGACAATCCTGAGGTGTTTAAAAGTCAAAAATCTAGGTGACAACAAATAACACATAGGACTGTCAATTAGGGAAGCAGATAAAGGGATCATGTTCACCTCCACATATATAGACAAATAAGCAACACGTCTCAAACATAGATTTTAGGTAATTTCAGAGCAATCGAAGAACAGGGTATCTAGGTGAGCATCAAAATACAGAATATGCAACATTGTTTTTTAAGGGCGAAATGACATAACCCTAATCAGGTTGCATGCTGATTTTAAAACCTATTAAACTTGAGCAATTTTATAAATAATCAGAGCACAATTTCTCAGCTTTTACAAGGACATCAATTACCTAAGGCTTGCCTAGGCGTGGGGCTATATACAACCATAGTGATAGAAGCTGTTTAAACAACTTGAAGTTATTTCAACCTATAGGCAGGCTGATCTAAGTGATGAAGGTTATAATAAGTGATTTTATATAGATTGATACTGGAACATGATACCAATGCGTGAAACTATTTTAGTCTATTTATTTGAGATACATGAGGCAAATGCACGTATAGTCCTAAAATATGATCTTTGATGCACATGGAGAAGGTTATTTATTGAGCAGTTTTAATGAACTATTGGCAAGATTTCCAAATGATCATGAATTATACAGAATCAGAAATAGAGTAGGGATCTACCACATGCTTCTAGTTTGCAAAGCAGTAAACGTGAATACCCTAAAACAGGATGTCTAATGCACAAATTTAGCATGGTTTAAATGCAAATAAACATAGAAATCCTAAAACATGATTTCTAGTGCATCACACAAGCTTAAAACATGATTTCTATAGCAGATTTGCATAATGTAAATCCCAAAGCATGATTTCCACCTAGCTTTACCCCATAGGATTCTATAGATACCCTCCCTTTTCACTATTTACCCCAATATATATTTACAAAGGATTTTTATAGACCATGATTGCATAAATTACATAAATGAGATGTAAGCTGAACTATAGGGAGTCTGAAGCAGGCCCAAAATAAACCTGGGAGTACCAGGTCTTCAATATAGTCTCAAATGCCTAGAAATCTCATAGCCAATTTGTGTCCAGGTGTGTCAGAGTTTCCTAAGGACCTCAAGGATAATGGGTAGTGGTCACACCAAGACTTTTCACAAAATAGGAACTGATTATGTGTAGTGTGGAAGGGCCAGCCCCAGTATGCCAAAGTTCGTGTTACATCTCGCGTAGTCATACGTTAAAAGTTTTGTCTTCAGTTAATTGATGTAGACTCGGGGATGAGATCATATTGACATCAACGCATTTACGCTATTTATAACAAGCAATAAAGAAGTGTCATGAAGGCTAATGTGGTACACGAATTAAAGAAAACAAATTTCGTTGAAAGTGGAAAATTTGAGATAAAATACGGGTCGAGCGATAATACCTGATAATTATGAACTAGTACCATGCAAGGTACCATATGACCACGATAATATAATGTATAAAGTATATTAAAAATAAGTAGAATTTTAAGTAATTTATGATAATTTTTAAATTATACGGGTAATTGGTTAATTACCGGTTAACGAGACATTACCCAGTTAACTAATAAGTGGATAGAAATTAATAAATTATATAACACGTGGCAAGAAGCCACAAAACAAAGAATGACTGAGTAGCCATTTATGCCTATGTGGCTACCTAAGGATAAATGAGAATTTAATGTGACCAAAACAAGACTTATGATAAGTCTTGATACATTTTCATTTTGGACAAAAAACAGAACCCAAAAAAATGTGAAAAATCCCAAAACACGATACTTCAAGGATAAAAAAACCTTCCTAGTTCAAAAGCTTCAAAAGGTTCTGTCTTTGGTCCACAAGAAACATTACAAACAGAAGGTAAATAACTCACTTTGATCTTCTTCAAAAACGTTAGAAACATAAGCAAATTTTCCAACGAGAATTTGTTGAAATAGTAGCAACGTAGAATTTTGCGGTTCTAGAAGAGTACGGTGCAATCTTCACCAAGAATATTATACGGAGTTTTCCTACTCCAGGTATGTTAAGGACATCCCTTCTTTCTTTTGGCATGGTCCAAATTATACTGAATAAACGAGCAAACGCATAGTTTCCATAAATTATTCTATTCATAGAGAGGCTAAGAGTGTCTATATTCTTGGTTCCCCATGAGAATTATTATTATCATCTATTCATGGGTATCAGAATAATACGCAGTTGAAAAAAAGTTTATCCGGAAGGAATATTGAGATTTTAAAATATTTTTCATGCATTTCACCCATTTATGCATGTGCATTGACCCATGACCAGATGGCGTTATATACACGTATATATGTAATATGGGATATGGGAAAATGTTACGGAGTTATATACGCACCACAACCTGATCAGCTGGTATATGTTGATGATATTGTCCACAATGGCCGAGACAATATAATGGGATGCCTTCAATGGCTTGATGATATAATGTACACCCATACCTATGTGTGGGA